ATTTTGTAGAGAAGAACTTCTGGCAATTTTAAAAACTTCAGCTAAGAAAATAAGTTTATATTAAAATTAAAACTGCTAAGCTTCCAGTGCTGTGTGCTTTTACCGAAAATGCTTTCGATTCGCAGCAGCTGAGTTTTCAAATCAAACCAGCTGAACTTTCAAATCAGGCTGAGAGTGGGAGTGACTACATTGGTTGCTGAAATGGGAGAGAAGGGACAGGTTAGAGCAGGGGTGGGCAAGTCCGGTCCAGTGTGCTATAACTACAAATCCAACATGCCTCTGCCTCTGGGAGCCATGCCCCAAACTGTCAGTCTTGCAATGCCTCATGGGATTTGTAGTTCCACAACAGTTGGAAGGCCAGAGTTGCCCAGCCCTGGGTAAGGGTGTGTCTTGCTGTTGAAACAGTGCCATGTTTCATACACCAGGTGAGGGAGGGGTAGGTATTCAGAAAACTCAGAGTTTAGAAAAGGTCAGTCCATTTCCATAAGTTAAAGTATATTTTCACTTTTGCAGTCAAATTTGAGAAGCACCTATGATATAGTTACTATACGTTACTGTTCGTACAGTAACTATAACGCTGCATGCTTAAAAATCATTTATTGTTTTAAAATAATTTTTACCATTATTTAAAAAAGATATTTTTAACTTTCTAGCTGTGTCTTTGGACCGGAATTATACACAGGACTGCAAGCTATTCTGAGCAATTTCAGAGGGACAAATGAGGACAGTCAGTTTCCTTTCATTAACATATAATCCAGAATCTACTGTATATGGTAAACGTTATATTAACAGCCCCCTCCTGAAAATTACATTGGGGAAGTTAAGTAGGATTTGTAAGCAAATAGAAAGCACTTAAAATGTAAGGAGCAAGTTATTTGAATGTGAACAGGAACATGTACATTCAGTTTGTGTGCATTGAGGCGAAAACAATTGTTCTTTTTCGGTCGAATGCAGTAGCAGGTAAATACGACATTATGGCCACTAGACGGAGCTGAGGAGAATAGGAAATAAATACTTATTTTATGTGCTGTTCAGCTTCATCTAGTGCCGTTAATGTGGTATTTAAACAAATATTATATTCAATTTGGAAATAAAATATCAACGACGTGTATAAAAAGTAACTATCTCAGCGCTAAAATGCTTCAGACCATCTCCTGCCAAATTACAGTCCTTATTAGCTCAGGGAGCTGCTCCTCACAGAGATCAGGGATTCCCTTCAGTACATGCAAAGAAACAAAAAGCAAACAAACATTTCTTTGGAAATAAAATATACTAACATTTATTTACACAGAGCGAATGCAATTTTGCAGGACGAATAGCTCTGTGAATTGTTTAAAAATACACCCCTTAAAGTGTATTTGTACTTTTACAGCCAAATTGGGCTGTAAAACACCTACTTTGTATTTATTACGTGCTCCCATTCACGCCCTCTGTGGTGCAGGTTTAGAAAAGCAAGTAAATGCATGAGCAGACATTACTATAAACTTGTACTGGCTGCACTGAGAAAAGGAAGTATATACAGGTGAAACTCGAATAATTAGAATATCGTGCAAAAGTAATCGCAGTAAGTGCTGCAAAAGGGGCCCAAACCAAGTACTCAGTACATATGCATGTTTGTACTTTTCAGAGGTCCGATATTGTTCTATGTACAATCCTTGTTTTATTGATTGCATGTAATATTCTCATTTTCTGAGATTGTGGATTTGGGGTTCTTGGGGTTTTCATGAGCTGTAAGCTATAATCATCACAATTATGACAAATCACAGCTTGAATTATCTTGCTTTGCATGTAATGAGTCTATCTCATATATTAGTTTCACCTTTTAAGTTGCATTAGTGAAATAAATGAACTTTGCACGATATTCTAATTATTCGAGTTTCACCTGTATACTGTAAATGGCTAGATCCATTGTAAGTGCTATTTTATGCTTTGCTTGGATCTGCCTTGTCAGTTCTGTGCTGTATTTTAGTATTAGAGATGGTTAAGCATGATCTCAATCCACCAGATGATCAGATACTTTGTTTACAGGATTAAATACCCCTAAGCTGAAGACCACTTGGAGAATAATGGGATTTTACTGTCTGATCATCATAGGTGAACTGAAGCTGGTCTGACAGCTGTAATTCTCCATAATTCTCTGGATACTCATAAACTGATCAAACAGTGTCCTAGAAAATAATGCAGATTTAAAAAAAACGCAATATCAAAAATAAAAAAAAATCAGTACTTGATGCACATGCATCTTTTTTGTCAACCTAACTAGCTATGTGAATATACTATGATAAGTTACATATTAAATGATCTTGTAAACACTGTAGGCTGCTGGAGCACTCACTAACCAGCTTACTTACTTACTTCACACAGTGCTATTTACAGCAGCCTCAGGAGAGAGACAAGGGTAGTCAAAAATCTGTCATTTTAAAGTGAACCATTCCATACTGATATGCAAATTTAAAATCCAGTATCTCTAACCACTCCCCGGCTTGTGACATATGCAGAGAGCAGTGACACGGCTGTCACAGGAAGGGTGTCTGACATTCTGGATGTGATGGGCAGCCTGGCTTTACCTTCTTTTTGCAATGTGATAGGCAAGATGGCAGCACCCCATGGGGGAGTCACTGGGTCTCTGGGCACACACTGGAGCTGGATTTTCTGTTCACAGATTATGCATCGGTGAGTTGTTTTAAAGATGGATAGTTCATATTTGCTTCTGCAAACACAAGCGAAGGAAAGGGTTGCGTTAAAGTGTATTTCCACTTTTGCAGTCAAATTTGAGAAAACCCCTCTATGTTTGTTATGTGTATCTTTTCACACAGCATACCGAAAAATCATTTTTAAAATAACATTTCTTACCTTTTAGATGTTTTGATGCAGCAGGTCTAATCTGTCCTAATAGAAATACTTAGGAGTGAAATTTGAGGGTTTTGTTTCTCTCATTAATTCCATTAACATACAATGGAGAAGCCCCTCACCACCCCTCTTAACATTACAAAGAAGGAGAATCAAGTAGACATTTTAACCCTTAAGATGCCAAGAAACCCTAATCCATGTAAAAGCAATTTAAACGGCAAGAAGCATTTAAAAAGTATTTTTTCGCTTATGCTATGTGCATGGGAACATTTTGTCTGCTCACCTAACAGAATGAGAAGAATATGGGTATGATATATTATAGAAGGTGTTTAATAGCACACGCGATTTAGTGATAAAGGGTAAGGGAGGTACATTTTGTTTTAGGCTCTTTGAAATTATCGAAATTATGTATTGCATATTGGATTGACTTGTAAAGCCGTCTCTTTTCCTGGGTGCATTCATGCTGCTTCAGACCAAAAAATAACTATTACTAGGATCCTCTCATTTATTGCTGTTATGGCATATTACCGTTTATTTGTAGGTATGCTGTGTGAATGGGAACACATAACAAACATATAGTGGGGACATTTGACTGGAAAAGTGGCATTATAATTTAAAGTGTATTTCCACTTTTGCAGTTACATTTGAGAAAATCACACTAACAGGGTTATTCACAGAAGGGTGAAGTGTTTGGAGAAGGCAGGAGAAGGGAAAAATCTAGGAAAACATAGATGAACTGGAAAGTGAGCTGAATTGGAGACATTTTACAAATCAGCTATATTGGACTAGACTGTTCACTTCTCCTGCCTTCTCCAAACTCTTCACCCTTTTGTGAATAACCCTGTATATGTTTTGTGTTTCCATTTACACTGCATACCTAAAAATATGTATTTTTTAAAAAATATTTCTTACCATTCTAGAATTATAAACAGGATTCTGAAAAACTTCAGAGGGACAAAGTGGAAACAGAATCAGTTTCTTCAAATTAATATACAATGCAGATTCTGAGCCTTGAGAACTTTAACACTTTGTTAGGACAAGTGCTGAAATCTAGTTTCCAATTGATAACGAGATCTGCCAGCACAGTACAGACAGGGTTAAATTATGGTAAATGTTAACTCTACAGTCCCCTCCTTAACATTAGATAGGAGAGAGCTAGGTAGGATTTTGAAGCAAGTAAAAAGCACTTAAAAACTATTTTAAAAATGCTACTTATATTTTAAGTATGGTAACAAATAATAAAATAGGTGTTATCTCAATTAGGCTGCAGAAGTGACAATACATTTTAAGTAGTGCTGAAACCGCATCAAAGATGTTTATTTATGTGTTGGAGTGGAAAAGGTTTAGAATTTCTGCCTGGTTTTATTTGCTCTCTATGTCCCTAATGGGGAGATTTCCACTGACTTTCTGTCCAAGTGACCACTGTCCTGACATGGGGACAGGAAGTGAGGGAGGACCCAGAGAACAATAAAAACCTATAGAGCTTCCACCCTACTCTACGGAATAAATTATGTGTCGCTGGGAAAGGTTTTCTCTTGCTTTATTGGTTTCAACAGTCACTGGGACTGGAGGTGAGGGGAAATCTCACTAAAAAAGGACACAGTAATAAACTTGATTGAGGTTTTCACCCTTCTACTCTGTTTAAAAAAAAAAAAGTTCTGCGACAAGCTCAGCTATTATTAAAAGAGGAAAGTATCGCTGTCATTTCCATCCCCCTAGTCTGTCTATGAGCCAAGGGCAAACTGAGAACTGGACATAGAGTAGAAGAACAAACGCAGGTCTTTTAGATTTATTAAGGCAAGCCGAGTACCAATACAGTATAAACACAAATGGGAAGCTCTCCATACTGGGGCAATAAAATGGGATAAATGTATTACTAGAAAAGGTAAAAAATCAATTCACAAATGTAGTGGAACAAAACGCCAAACAGCAGCCTAAAGATGTTATGTGCAAAAAACCCCACCATGGCCAGCGACGTGCCGGGAGCACGTTTATATTGTGGTTTATATAGCAGAAAGAGATTTTTCCTGAAGTACACTGAGATTAAGTTATTTTGTCAGTTTATGTGTACATTTTATTGAAAGGATAACTGTACTTTCACAAAATTCAGCTTGGCTGCTACATAACAGTTATAACTTTTATTCCTGCAGTCTGACATCCCCAAGCCCTGTGCACAGCTCAAAATCAGAAGTCAACGATGGAGCTTATTGTGAAGATAAGGCTGAAATCACAATCATCCAGTGTGAAGAGAACCTTTCCAAGAAAGGTAAGATTGTGAGATAGATAAGAGAGTTTGACAGACAGACAGACAGATAGATAGATAGATAGATAGATTATACACTGCCTGGCCAAAAAAAAGTCACCACATGGACTTAGCTAAGCAAATAGGTAAGAGCTATAGGGGTTGCTTCAATTGGTCAGGTCTAGGTTCAGCAACGTTATGTGCCCAAATAATAATGTCATCTGCCTACCTGAATATACTGAATGACCAGGTTTTTCCATCAATACATTATTTTTCCCTAATGGCCATGGGCATATACCAAGATGACAATGCCAGGATTCCTCAGGCTCAAATTGTGAAGGATTGGTTCAGCGAGCGTGAGACATCATTTTCACACATGGGTTGGCCACCACACAGTCCAGACCTTAACCCCGTTGGGAATCTTTCAGATGCACTGGAGAAGACTTTCACTATAAGATCTCAGTGAAAAATGAATGCAACTCTGGAAGGAAATAAATGTCACATTGCATAAGCTTATGGAAACAATGCCTTGGCAAATGCATGCCGTAATCAAAGCTAAAGACGGTCCAACAAAATATTAGAGTGTGTGACTTTTTTGGACATTTATATGGATATTTTTGGATATATGTTTTTTTTGCATTTTTATTGCAGTTTTCTTGTATTTTTCATTTTAAAAAAAAAGAATTTATATATGCATACATCACATAACATTAAAGCTCATTTTCCATGTTGTCCTTCAAAAAACGGTATATAATATGTGTAGGTGTAATGCATGAGGAAGATGGAAATTATGGTTAAACAGAATTGCTCTGGTCCCCAGAAGCGGAAAAAAATTCTGAAGCTGTGTCACTAAGGGGTTAAGATCTATGACGCGCATTGTCACAGTTGACACTGCCAACTACTACAGGAAAATGGTTAAGAACTCACTTTAGAGGTATTTTTAGAAAAACATATGCCAGCAATGTACACCGAGTGTGCATGAAACAGGCATATGCACCTGCTGTATTTGAACCCACAAACTTACTTTTTTTTGTTAGCATTCCTCTTCATATCCTTATGTAAAAATGTCTGCCTTTGTTTTGCAAGCTCTTTCTCACCTCTCCCCTTCATGAGTATTTAGAGTTTGCATTAAATTCAAGGGAATACTTAAATATTGTATGTTCTGTGTTTCTGCATTGGTTACAGATGAATCGTTTATACCTCCACCTGAATCCCAACCTATTAGCCCAGGCATGTATCCAGACACATCATGGGAGGACCATCTCCTGGAGCAACAGGATCACCTAGAGAGGGAAATGGAGGAAGCCAAGAAAATGATATCTGGCCTGCAGGTATGCATCTGTTGCCTTTTATAGGGGTCTCATAAAAAGACACCTCCAATGCTTGTCCCTACATCTATCTGTCGAGCAAACCTGTAAGTAAACTAGTGTTACAATAACTATAGGATAAAACTAGGGTACCACAACAGAACATTTTCACATGGAAATGAAGAGTGCAGTTAACATAGCTAAGGAAGACCATTTTCATATCTCCTCCTTTCTAAATGTATTTGGATTTTAAAGTAGGCACACAAGGGGTCTGCTAGTACCATTATTTGCTCTTAATTAGAGGGGCACATAGAGAAGGGTTTCTAGCTATTAAAGATAATAGAAGACACCTAGCTATGCAGTTTGCTTGTGTGGGTTTCCTCTGGGCAATGCAGTTATTGCCCATATTCCGAAGACAAGCTGGCAGGTTAATAATATCCTGTCTATATTGTCCCTAGTATGTGTGTGTAAATGTATGCATGTGAGATAGCGACCTTATATTGTAAGTTCCTTGCGGGCAGGGACTGATATGAATGTACAGTATGTAAAGCGCTATGTAAATTGTATGTAATAATAATAAATATAATGTAATAAATAAAATATTTAAACAACCTTTAGCAGACACAACACAGAGGCTCCATTCACACCTGCGCGTTTAGAATTCACGTTTTTTCATGCCACAAAGGACAATATTGAAAATACACAAATTCTTTAAATAACATTTTACGGCTCCATTCACACTGGAGCTGCCGTCCACGCATATGGCTGTACGGATACGAGCGGAGCCGCTCCAAATAGAAAAAACAATGCACTTCAATGTGCATTGTTCAGACTATTGTGGAGACTGCGCGGTACGAAACCGCACGGTCCCCAAAATAGTGCAAGCATGATAATCCGGCTTATTCCGCATGTTCGCAGCTATATAACGGTCGCAAACGAGCTAAATCCGTGCAGTTGTTTCACATATAGCGTTTGCGTCCCGCGCGGTCTTCCGCATGGAAAACTGCGCGGGAAACGCAAACATTATATGTGAATGGAGCTAGAGGGTGGCTTCAAGCTGCATGTGGTGTTACAGAACAGTTACAGAGCACAGGGTTCACCTTAATATTCTAACCAGATCCCTATCCAGGCATGCAGCCCGGGTGGCCAGGAAAGGTAGGACACTAAGCCGCGCCCCCTTCCTGTACCATTTCATGATGACATGCCTTTCCACACTGCGGGGGGGGGGGGGGGCTGTTTTGCTATGCATCCCCCATTGTCCCAATATCCTGTCCCCCAAAGAGGATGTGGGGAAGAGGCTGCGTTCTACATGCCTAGATAAGGGTACACCCAAGCTGCATTCTTGAACGTGGGTCTGGTTGAAATATTAAGGGAAACCTCACACCATTTTGTTTTTTTTTTAAATAAATATGTAATGTCTCTTTAAATAAAAAATGTGGGGTTCTCCTTAATATTCAAACTAGTCCCTTGTACAGATGTGTAACCTGGGTGGTAAGGAAAGAGAGGGTAGCATGTTTACACCCTCATGCCTGTTCCATACTAGGCCACATGCCTTTCAACTCCTAAATCCTCCCACCTGCAAGGCACCTTGTCCCATTGTTGAGGGATAGAAGCCTCCCCCCCCAAAAAAAATGGTGAGGTTTTTGGAGGGGACCTATAGGAATCTGAAAGCCCCCAGCATCATCCCCCTCCCAGGGGAATGGGTACAGAGGTACATTAGTCCCCCTTTTTACTCATTCCTAGAAAAGGTAAATTGTAAATAAACGCTCCTACACCTTCTGCTTACAGTGGAGACATTTTCTCTGATTTATAGTTGCATCTTCAAGACATCTCCTTAACACTACTGTATCTAAAACTAAAAAATAACCTTTAGATACATTTTAAAAGTTCCAAACATTTTATAATTTTCTGTAATTTACAGGGACATTGTTGCTCAGATTAATAAGGATGTCTATCTGTGTTTACATTGCCACCTGTAACAATATCCCAGCTTTATTATTTCCCATGGTAACAGTATTGGGTTTCCTATTCAGGCATTGCTGTTAAATGGATCGCTTCCCGAAGACGAACAAGAGAGCTTATTCTCCTTGCGTGAAGACGGGGCGTGCCCAGAAGAACAACTGGTGAGTTCATTCCTATCTTTACCATTCTGCCAGTGTTCAAGCTGATTCCCTCATTGCTCAACTTCCCTGTCTTCTCCTTTCAGGTCATCATCAAAAGTCGCCTTGACCAGAGTATGAGTGAGAACCAGTGTCTCAAGGTGAGTCATTACTGCATTGCTTGCAATTTAGAGAAGATGAGTTTTTGAAGTAACAGAATGCGCTAACGTGTAGTAATTACTGGCATCCAGTCAGTAATAATGTGATATGAGCTAAATGAAAACAACAGATCTCTTTTACAATCTACTGGGTCAGGTTTATTCAGTGCAGCATTAAACCTATGCAGAATCCATGTCATTAAAACTGTTTTTGTTAGCAACTGCTGTTTTTGTAAAGTCTCTAATTATAAGTTGTGTATTTTCTATGGTATTGCTGGACAGTTTGCAGCCTGTCCTTTGCTGTTTAATTAATCAAGACTTAAAGTGAGATTAAACCCTCAGATTTTTTAACATAAACCATTACTGTAATGTGTGCCTTACTGTAATCCATGGTTGTTTCCCTTCCCTTTGCTGCTCTTCCTTTTTAAATCCTCATGTCTTCTCATGCTTGGGGAGAACTTCCCTCTGAGTGCCTCTTCCTGTAGTGCTGGCTCAGGTTGCAAACCTACACACAGACAACATGTATCCATTTCAGAGACAAGGCAGTCTGCTGCAAAACAGAAGTTCTGCCCAGCATGAGAACAGATACAGATTTAAAAGGAAGAGCAGCAAAGAGAAGGTAAACAACCATGGATTACAGTAAGGCGCACATTACAGTATTGTTTTATGTTAAAAAATCTGAGGGTTTAATGTCACTTTAACTCCAGTTCGGTTGAGAAAAACACATTTGCTTCTAGATGATCAATACATATTGCAAGGGTTTAAAGAAATTGCTACTTGTTTCAAAATGTCCTTTCTAGATTGATTCCTGAATGGAAATACCAACGTTCGTTATAACTACTTGAGCGAATTGTAGTGTACTTATGAAGAAAACTGTAGTGTCTGCATCCCTTTAGATGTGACAAGCCTTAGGCAATGTCTCACCAAAAATACATTTTATTGCAAGGAATGCCTACAAACTGACTTAGTGCAGACCACTGGAAACAAACCAAAAAGCAAATCATGCAAGCAAGAAAATACATATCTGGGGCATTCTGCACACCAGCCATGTAAGAAAAGCCTCCTGACTGCCTTATTGGAATTTCAGCAGTTTCAGATTAAAATAGAAATTAATTTTGAATTACATTACATTTCAGTATGGCGTGTGTAGCAATTCTCTCTCTCTCTCT